CTTTAAAAAAAAAAAAGGGTTACAAAAAAAGCGCGTCAGCCCCCCTTGAAACACTCTTTTCTCCCCTCTTTCACCCTGGGACATCATTCGCGGGGTGGAGCGCCGGGCGGGGGGGTAGCGGCCTGTAATCCGCTGAGGAGATGCAGGCGCCTGAGGCAGAGACTCGGCCGCATTCCAGCCTGGCCCCCTACCCCCCAGCCCGGCCCCCCACCCCCCGAATGGTGTCCAAGGTCGAAATCAGCCGAATGACAGTGCTGCTTAAGGCAGTTCCTGTCTCTTTTTTTATAACAATTTTTTATTGAGAGAAAATGCTGCTATAAAGTTCATCATTTTATCCTTTTTTTAAGTATATTTTTAATTGATTTCAGAGAGGAAGGGAGGAGAGAGAAACATCAATGATGAGTGAGAATCATTGATCAGCTGCCTCCTGCACGCCCCCTGCTGGGGATCAAGCCCACAAACCAGCATGTGCCCTGAGCAGGAATTGAACCCTGACCTCTTGGTTCATGGGTCATGCTCAACCACTGAGCCACGCCAGCCGGGCATAAAATCATCTCGGAAAAGGATGGCCCAGAAGGTCAGCCCCAAGCCTGAAGGATAAATCACGCCCCTCCGTGTGTGCCTGGCAGACGTGCGCGGAGCAATCTGCTGGGTCACACGGCAAACGCAGCGTGAGATGCAGGATCCGTCACCCCGGCCTCTGCAGAGTGTTGTGCCATCTTCACGTCTCCCGGGCGTTTGTCAGTCACGTTCTGTCACACTTCACTGGCGCACATCACACCACCCAGCTCACCGGGCTGGGCTGGGCTGGAGAGGGGATGCTCACGCTGACAGACCGGGCTCTGCCCCAGGGAACACGCAGTGTGGGCGGGAAGCGAAGAAACACACAGAAAGCTACACGACACGGAAATGGCCAGACGAGGCAGCGGCTAAGGGGGAGCAAGTGCTGGAAACGCCACGGTGAGGGAACCACCAAGCACCGGGCAGGTGCGCACAGAGCAGGCCCACGCAAGAGGGCACAGCCGACTCGGACACAGCGAGAAGGCGGGGACACGGTGGAGACACAGCGAGAAGGCGGGACACGGCGGGGACACGGCCGGTGCTGTCCCGCCCACTGCCACGGCCCTTCTCCACCTGCTGCTGGAACTGTCGGCAACAGGGCAGCCCTCCTCTCGGTGCTCCCAGGTGCTGTCGCTGGGTCACCTTTACCCACAGGCCACAGCTGTTCCTGCAGCCCCACCTGCCACGTAGACAGTTTTGCCTGAAAAAGACTCGAGCTGGCGAGGATGCGGAGAAGAGGGAGCCCTCGGGCCCTGCTGGTGGGAATGCAGGCGGGGCAGCCACTGTGGACAACAGTGTGGAGTTTCCTCAAAAAATAAAAACGGAGCTTCCGTTTGACCCAGTGATCCCACTTCTAGGAATATATCCTAAGGAACCCGAAGCACCAATCAGAAAGAACATATGCACTCCTATGTTCATAGCAGCACAATTTACAATAGCTACGATCTGGAAGCAGCCCAAGTGCCCATCAGTAGACGAGTGGATTAAAAGCTGTGGTACATTCACACCACGGAATACTATGCAGCTGTGAAAAAGAAGGCTCTCTTACCCCCGGAGACAGCATGGAGGGACCTGGAGAGTATCATGCTAAGTGAAATACGCCAGTCAGAGAAAGACAAGTATCCCATGATCCCACTCACATGTGGAATCTAAGGAACAAGTAAGCTGATGAATAAGGCAGAACTGAGGTCTACGTAGGACAGACGGACGCATCTCAGAGGGAAGGGGGAGAAATCAACCAGAGACCGTGTATGCACATGTGCATACCCCGCGGACACAGGCAAGGGTGGTGAAGGCCTGGTGGGCGGGAACTGGGTGGAGGGGCCATGGGGGGAAAGGAAGGGGCATCTGTAATGCGCTCAACAGCAAGGATACGTTTTTAAAAAGACACACACACGGACTCTTGCGGCTGCTGAGAAACGCTAACCCGGCTTCACCTTCAGGACACACTTGGATGCGCTTTGCCCATCGCGCTCTTGGGTCACATGCACTGCGCATGCCCGTTCCGACCGGACATCGCGAAGAGGAAAACAGACACAGATACACACATGCACGCACATACAGACACACACACGCACACACACACAGAGGACAAGTGTGAGGCTTCATTAATTCACCTCCCCTTACACAGTGAAACGCCACCACCCTGTGAGAGAAATCTGTTTGCGCTGGGGACTTAGTCACTGAGCACACTGAAAACGCAATCCTATATAATAAAAGGCTAATATGCAAATCAACCGAACGGCAGAAGGACCGGTCGCTATGATGTGCACTGACCACCAGGGGGGCAGACACTCAACACAGGAGCTGCCCCCTGGTGGTCAGTGCGCTCCCACAGAGGGAGCGCCGCTCAGCCAGAAGCTGGGCTCCCCCACCTCCGTGCTAAGGATGTCCGACTGACGGCTTAGGCCCATTCCCCACAGAGCGCAGCAGTCGGACATCCCCCGAGGGCTCCCAGACTGTGAGAGGGTACAGGCCGGGCCGAGAGATACCCCCCCCCCCAGTGTACAAATTTCGTGCACCAGGCCTCTAGTTTTTAAATAATCAAGAGGGCCCACGGGTTGGAGAAATGATTCTACACTGTGTGCTCGCACGGAAGCATGCTCACTCAGGCGCGAGGTCCCCCGATCCCGCTCAGGGTCCCCCCTCAGGGTCCCGCTCAGGGTCCCCACATGCTGACTGAACTTGGCACGTGTTTCCAGGCGGCGTGAAGCACCTCTGCTCCCGTGACACCAGGGCCTCCCCTCCGCTCTGGCACGTGTCTGTAGCTTTTCCTCTCGGGCAGTGGTTCCCACGTGGGCACACACCCCAGGGGGCAGTTTGATTTTAAGGGGGACGATTCGAGAATGAGTTATTAACAGTGAACTTTTTGCATGTCTTATGGCTCTAGGGGCCTCATATACAGCACATAAATATAGATTGTGACATATTTGTGCATTTCAGTTCTCTATTGTTTTGAAACTTTGCTATTTCTCATATAACTTCACATTATTATTTTAACAATTTCTAGTGATGTCTTCCTCAGCACGTCCACTGTCCTTGCGTGCTTTTATTTTTGTCTTTCGTGGATGCCATGTTCTTGGGAAGCTTGTTTAGACCAAGTTCATGGCCTTTTAGGCTTCCTCCACGTGAATAGTTCACTTTTTGAATAATAAGAATTATATGTCACGGGGGTGGGGGGGGGGGCCAGGGCATCAGGGTGTTAGAGGTGCTGGGGGGGTGTGTGGCCAGACAAGGCTGGGAACCGCTGCTCTGGCACCCAGAGTGTCCTCGAGGACACAGGGCGCCCATCTCTCCTGAAACACGTGTGGCCCCGGCACCAGGAGGCACTGATGGTCACTGACTAAGGGATCCGGGATTCATGCGGGTTCCAGGGCCCTCCATCCCCAGCCGAGCCACACCGCCCGTGCCGGGAGCCCAGCGGTGACTCGCCTCCCCCTGCCGACGACGCACGTGACGCAGGGAGTGACCCGTCTGCCTGTCGAACCCGGAGGCTCCGACCCACCTGACAGCGCATCGTAGAACTCGTCCTCGCTGAGCACGCTGGGCGGGGAGCCGGCCACCAGCGACTGCTCTAGCTCATGGTGCTCCGTGGCCAGCGCCTCCAGGGCCTCCGACAGGATCTTGGTTTTCTCCTGCTCCTGCTCCAACTTGAAGTTCCTGGCCTGGAAGGAGACAGGAGAGACTCACTCGGGAGCACGGCTCCGGCTGACTGCACGTCAGAAGCGAAAAGCCGTGCCCTGCGCACGCGGACGAGTGTGCACAACTGCGCGGCTGATTCCGTCCTTCCCGGCTTCTCCCAGCAGCTCGGCGAATGACGGGGGTCGGAGCCGCCAGACACACCTGCTCCGAGGACCAGGGTC